AGCGTGAATTGTCCAGACTGTTATACACAGTGGTATTCCATGAAATTGAATAAAAATATTATTATGAAATATATTTTATTTTGAAATCATATTTGAATCTGAGTGTGTATAGCAACTCCAATACAACAAAGCAACTAATAAAACAAGCAAGAAATGTGAATTAGATACTTTCTTCAGTAATACGAATATTAGACATCACATTTTCATAAAAAAGTTGCGATTGTGATCTCATGTGACTATAGTTACCATAACTCTTCCCGCATTTTTTCTGAAACTTTACTATTTTAGTTGCAATAGTAAAATTTGTGAAAATGTGAATTAAAATTGATAAAATACCAGTACCAGTCCTGGTACTTTTGGAACACCCTGTATGTTTAAGGAAATCTAAACACTTGTGGTCAAATAGTTCAGAAGACGACAGTGATGTATTATATCGATGATTATGTCGCAATATCCAACTTGGGGAAAAATAAGTTCAGCAGCAGCCACAGTTAGCTGACGACGGCAGTTCATTTCTCAAAACGTAAGAAGACTCAATTTTCAAAAAACTACATATAATTTTAGCATTATGTAATTCTAATATAAAAAACGGTTCGTTGATACCATTTACATCACCAATATTGGAGAAATAATTCCAAATGTTAGCTGAGAAACCTAAAACATACATTCAACATTTATTTCAAATAATGTTCTGTAGCATTATGTACCCCAAGTTGTAAAAAAACAGTTTTTACAAATCTTTGACCCCTCTTAAATGTCACTGGGGCTTTTAATTATACACAACAATTTTTATAATGATAATGGTACCATAAACATGTAAAATTGTTATCAAAGTCTTCTAAATACTTACAATGTTAAGGTGTCCTATTTTGGCAAAATTACCATTTATTGATATATCCAAATGCTGTTTTTCTACTAAATTATGTCGTGTGTGTTGTTACAAACGACATTTAATGTGTGATATTTTTGATGTCAATACAACTGGTTATCATGACCAAGATATTTATTTAAAAAAATTGTATTCACTTTGTCAAAAGAAAAATCGCTAGTTTTTTAAACTATAGATCATGATTGACAAGTACATTGCGTATAATATTTTATTTATTTATTTTTATTTCAAAGAAAAAACATGTTAAACATGGCAAAAAACAATTACAATACATCAGAAACAAGTCAAATTCTTTACTTCAGAGAATATTTTTAATTTATTGAGACTTTCGACTGTCTTTTTCAAAATATAACAGCATGTATACATTTATGTGACGTCATAAACAGACAATGGAAAATTTTACAATACAATTACATGCTGAACATACATTTTACAATTTTACAATACAGTATTGGTTAAACGTTAGTCTTTAAGAAATGTTATACCATTGGCAATTGTGTATAATATAATGGTGTATAATGTAAGTGCGTAGTGCGTCAGCAGGGGCGGGTCAGATTTTCCTACCTGCGATTTCCCAAGAGCACGTTTGTAAACAATATTTTCAAAGTAAACTAACCACTATGTATTATTTACCAACATTTGCACACATTGAAGACATGCATGATAAAAGAAACAAATCCCCATTGTAAATTTTAAAATATGTCATAGACTACCATATTCTTGTTTTCAGTCAAAACAATGTCCTGGTTTTAAGACATTTGGGTGTTAATGAGTACAGTTATCAAACACGAAATTCGAAAGTTCCGAACAATATTTTGCACATATGGCGTTTGTGACCAACTATGAAACACTTACCACAAACTAGGTTATCAAAAGTGGCGTTATTTGAAATAAAATCAGAGGTTTTTATATAGACTATACAGTATACATGTATATGGAATTCATGAAGCTGTAGTGTTCTGGGTACTTGCTCTCTTTGATAGGCAAAAGTAAGAGTAACAAAACTAAGAAGGTTTGTTGTTGGCAAGAGGGGGAGAAATCCCAGGGTTCAAAGATGACGTACAACACTTTAGAATCACACCACGTGATGCGAAAGGTATATAGTCCATGGTATAACTTCTGAATATGAAGGATCCGTAGCACACTATAGTGCAGCAACCTTTGAAGCAATATTTATGATGGTGCTTATGTCTTGATTCTTTTAAAATACCATTTGCTGAAAAAACTTCCGGCTTTTGGGTCGAAAAATGTCTTTCATCACAAGGGGTCAAAAAACGTAAATATTTTGATTCGAACTTTTATACATTTTATAGGACACAGACCGTTATTCTAAGCATACGAACAAAAATAGATTATCATATAATGTAAAAATATACTATAATTTTACTTTAGATGTCGGTGTTTAATTAGTGAAATTCGCAAGTGTATTTTCATATTTTGTTTGATTTTTCAAATATGAACCAAGCAGATTCAACAAAATTGTTTGAATATTTAGGTATTTTATAATTGTGAACTTAAGCATTTGTCATTTGTCATTCTAATATAAAAGTGATACATTTGTAGCATTTATCTTATTAATACCTGAGAAACAATACAAAACGTTGATACACCAATTACATAATTTTTGGGTATTGATAAGAAAAATAACCTCAAACTTATAGCTTAGAAACCTAAATCACATATTTAGAATAATTTTGTATTATTTTCTGTTGCATTGTGTACTCCAAATTGCGAAAAACTGGGATTTTATTTTTTGGTAATTTTTTGACCTTTGTTAATGGCAGGCATAATTCAGCCTAAAAGCCGAAAGTATATTAAACGGTTATAATAAAAATTATTAGGGAACATATGTAGGTATGTTTATGTTAGGTCAAATATCGCTGCGCTATAGTGTGCTACCAGCTACTTTATTAGTAGTTCAACGTCGTTAAACTCAATAACGGCGTTCTTTACTATTAGGAATTTTTTCTTGGGGCCATTATTGAGTTTAACCTCCATGCTATTCTTTCCTTTGATGCAAGTTGTGGATCTATCGAAACCACTTTTCCTCGCTAATATGACACTGATACTTAACAATAATATAAAACCACATTTCATCAGGCGATTTCACATAATATTTTTGTGTTAAATGTTCATTTTTAATCGTAAAATGAGTCTTATTCTTACCAATTTATGAGACGAATATTTCAACCGGCAATGTCTGTCTGTGCGTCGCCAAAGTAAACTTGGTCAGCGAAACGAAATTGTTCTTCAATATTGTTATTTATTATAACCATCCAGTATGACACGAATCTTTGCTTTATTCAAACAGCGCGTGTATTCACCCAAGTTTACTCTATTGTTATTTATAAAAACTTTAAAAAGCAATACTCGCAACATTATTGATGCATTTGATTACTGGTAATTTCAGCTCAAAGAAATATAGATGTCATTGATTGTGCTAGATTGTGATTGTGTTGAATAATTGTGCCTAAATATTAAATTATGGTAATTGTTTATGGTTTTCTGCTTGCAAAAACGTACCTAGGAATACACTCAATTGTTTTTAACTGGGATCATGTATTTTACTCAGCATACATGCTTTGTAACAATTGTTACATTTTAATAACTTCAATGTTTATCGCAAGCCTCCTACAGTATTACAATATTTTGTACTTATATATAGGATAACCGGGGTTCGTTTCGTTTTATGAACTTGTTTCGTTCAGTGTTGCTAACGGCGGTTTATTCCTGAAAGGATTTGCCATTTCGATGTTACCGGAACCAGAACAGAGTTTTCTAAACTAAGAAAAAGCCTTCTCCCAACATTTTCATAATTATACATCGATGAGGTTACAGGGGGGTATGTGATGATTTGTATTTATTCATAAGGTATGTATGCATGCGTTGATCACATTATTTCTGTAACGATACCATCTTATTACGGTTTAATTAGTTCCGCATGTCGAAACCTGCTGAACGATTAAATGATCGCATCAAGGGCAAAATCATCATGGAAGTTAGACCTAGCCGGGGCCATAAGACATGTCAGATAAGAAACGAGGCCCAGGCTAGGTCTAATGTTGTTGGACTACTTTATTAGATGTCCAAGAGATTTCATACCATGGACTAATATGTGTGCTACCCTTTTACCCATCGACGTTATTGTAAAATGACTAAACCTTAATGTGTATTGAAATGTCCTGCTTGAACTGAAATAAAAATCTATTAAAAAAGATGGCGTATGTTTACAATGTAAATCTGTATTGAGATGACTCACCGTCCTGATTGGTCAAAATCGACAAAAAATGACGGATTCAACATTTTCTAATAATGCTTCGAATAATATTATGATAATTTCTGTGTTAACCAATATCATAGCTTGTTATTTCACATCAAGAAAGATGTACGGAATTTGCTTACATCGATTTGAACAACTCGACGCCTTGTTATATTCGAAAACTGAACTGGTGAAAATTTGCTCAAACGAATGTGGTACCCAAGAGACGTAATATGTCTGTCATCGCCAAATCTCTGGGGCTTTCCTTCCTCTTGTTGGGTATATCATACGATGACGTTATTTTATTATACCTGTAGGATATGGAAATTAAAACTCAAATTTCCTCTGGTCTATTGAGATGAAACAGACTTGACCTTTTGGTCATTAAATACATTTGTAAATCAAAGTTGGGGAGAATATGTTGTGCTGATATTATAGGTCGTTCGGTCTCGATTTCATATAAAACCAAATTATCCAGATTCTGCTGTCTTTATCTTTGGATATTTTTACGTATGATTTGAACTCAAAGGTTTATACCATATTCGCAAACATGCTATTCATAAATAAAGATTAAAGTTACCCTCTCCATTGAAAGACTTATATTATTAGAATATTATGTATTTAACTATGCTATTTCAATGTGCCATTTCACAGTTGTAACTATTCGTTCGTTTTGGAAATGATGAAACTGTCCGTCCATCTTTGCGGGAACTACTTTCGAAAAAGTCATTACAAACCAAAACAATCCTTATTATTGTTTAAAATTGTATTCGATTATACATTTATTTTAAAATCGGCCAGTATATAGTATAAGAGTATTACAAAAGTTGATATATGAAACTCCAACATATGTTAAACGGAGTAAATTTCAGGAATATTTGGAATGTTTATGTGTTTTACTTTTCCACTTTTATGTTTTGTGATCATGTGATATCTCCTTTTGGCCAGTATTTCCATTTTTATAAGATGTCCAATTTGGTTCAAACACCTGGAAAAAAGCATAGTAAACCTGATTCAAATAAGATCGCGTGGATTAAACCACAAGAGGAAAACCATAACACGGGACGTAAATTCAGAAACAGCATGGATAAGAATATATGCTTACATTTGTTCAGTATCTGGCTGAAGTATCCGTTTGTGGGGCTCGTGAACTATGAAGACATCTGGTAACACATAGAACTCATACCTTGAAATGTATGAATATTATCATTACATTTACGTGAACCATCGAAAATTAAAAGATGATAAAAATCTAAATAATGTATAATAAAATGACGGAAGAGAATAGAAACCATTCCACAAACAAATGATATGTACAGGGTGTCAAATAAGTCCCGTCCCCCTCTACAGCCAAAACCAAGATATTTGGTACCAAGTGTGATATATCATTGGAAAGGTCTTCCAAAGTTACGTTGATTGGCATACATCTAACACATTTCGATCAATCTCACAAATTTTTAATTGTATCAATTGAGGTGACCATAGGCCTAGAAACATGGCAATTTGGCGTATTTGGCAGGATTTTAAGAATCGGGTATAAGAAAGGTCAAAGGACCAAAAGATGACTAAATATGTATATGGCAATAAATTTAACCAATTACTGGATAGAGTTAGATGTGTAGAAAATAGAGGTGCAATGAAAGTGGTGAAAACCTTTTTATGTAACAAGTGGAATGCAAAAAAAGATTAACTTTTTGATGTTTTTCTGGGGTCATATCCTTGTCATTTTGACGGAAAAGCTGCTTAAAGATGGGCACGTTACACAAGTGATACACAATACTGATATTTTACGACAAAATATCTTTATTGACACCAAGTAGACACCATCTATATACGAGTGTATTATAGCTACGACAGGAAAGCTGGAGATACTGGTTTGAGGTTGTGACTGGCCTTGTAACATCACATCACAAACTGTTGCTATTAGTATAGAGCCTCTCCCATACAGTAAATGTATTTGATATTAGATTTAGAATAGAATAATATCCTCTCACAAAATAGCATTGAAGATGAAATCTCTTATCACATTGAGGTATTCATTTAAGTATTGCCTTGAGAAATTTACATAATATGGCTTTAGCTTTCAGTGTACACCAGTTAAAAGGCAGAGTGCATGACTTATTGTTTGGCCGCCCTGTAGATGATGTGCCAATGAAAAAATATATAAAAACGAACGTTTTCGTTCTTTTTAGCCATCATTGCATACTACTACTACTAAATATCCATTCTTCTACATTCATCAAGATATAAATTAAAGCTCTTTTTTAAGCAACACGGTTATTTTTTTGGAAATCACCCACGCTTAAAATCTAAATTATAAATAATACCTAAATGTATGTATTGCACTATTCCTTTCGTTCAGTTTCTCCAACAGTTGAATTTTATTATCGGGCACTCCACCCTCAGTTAGGTTCGTCTCAAATGCTGGTGTAACCAATGCCTAAAAATAAACACTAGTAAAGAGAGAACCCCAGGGACACCAGAACCGTATGATAAAAATTATGTATGAATAGACTTTTGACTGTAAAAAATAAGAATAAATATTAACATAATTTCAAGGGCTGTAAACCAAGAAGAGTTTTATCTGTGCGCGGTAGTAGATGCATGTACTCTTTACGAGATGATCCAATCCGCAGCACTACGGAATAATACTGATCGGTTCAGTAAAAAAAATGGTGACATTATTATGGAAATGAGCAGTTATATTCCGTAGTAATGTAAAAAACCGAGTGCTACGGATTGGTTCACTTGTACAAAGGTGTACACTGTATATACCGGTCGGGCTGAATTCCAGTCGCATTGGCGTATATGTCTCCTTATGAGTTGGTATGCATCCTTATTTGGAGTAAAGTCGGCATCAATCATCCAAATATGGGAAGTATGGGCGCCATAGAGAGCAATATTTCTCATGAAGTTAACTGGATAGTGTGTCTGTAAATAAAATGGAGATTTAGATTTATATTTTTTTATCACTATCGTATTTCCGACTCTCTTATTGGTCTATAGCATACATGTATAAGAGGACGTATTCATTCACCGGCCAATCATCTGGCGTCAGTAAAAAGGCGTATTCAATATAGGCCAGGACTCAGCATGGGTTTTGAAAAGTTCAAGGGCCACTTGATAGACATAATGTTTCTGAATGATGACTTCATTTAGCATCAATTCATATATGTCTGGGTCTTTTTAGTTTGTGGACGAAGGATTCTGAGCAGTTTTACCCCTCTAGAATAATATTTCAGGGGGGTACTATATTATCATTCTATAAAATCAGTTATGCATTAACTATAGCACTGATTTATACATATTATGTTGCTAGCACTGTAGTCAAGTGTTTCCCAAAGTTATAGGGAGATATGTTGATCGGTTTTGACAAAAAAACAATTCATAGTAAAAACTAAGCATATTTTCATTCGTTTTTTAGTCTCGCCAACTTAATTGTTGCAGCTTCAGAGAAATAATTGGCACCAATACTGCTTTAAGAAGTAATCTAAAATTATTTTTAATCTATGTGGGGAATTGTAATATAAAGAATGTAATGATACAATACTATTTGGAATTTTAAATATGGCTTTGTTGACCCCTACCCCCTAGAAATATGAGAAAGTGAAGGTGGCACAATTAGATCAGAAATTCTATAATGAGTACTAATACTTCTCCTAGTAGCATTCTAAAAATGTATGTGTGATATATAGAGGTAATTTAATGGGAGGGATGGAATATGAATTTTATTCTGAGGGAAAATATGATATTGGCCAAGGAAAACATCATATTGACTGAGGGCAATAGCCCGAGTGTTAATATGATAGTTCTCGAGGCGAATAAAATAAATAAAATTCATATTCTACCAACATCATCAATAACCTATTTATTAAATTGTTTTTTTTTCTGAAACATAAAAATCAAGAGAAATTCCCGGGAATGGTTCTGATATAGGATCTGGTATGTGATTTAGGCTGATACAGGATCCAATTCGGGATCTGATACAGAAATCTAGCTATAATATGGGATCTTTTGAATATCAATTCTATTCCCTATTTATTTCCCAGGGAAAACATGCTATTTTGGAATAATGTTATAATTTTGTAATGATCAACTGTTTTTTTTAAAAAAATTCTGGATGCCTTTGTTAGTCTAAAAGGTCATTTCTTCATGTTAAATTCTTGTTTTTATATTTTTCTTTTTCTAAAATTTTATCAAGAATTTCTCTTTATAAGTCAAGGTCTTACGATTCTTATTCATTTGCATCAGTCTGCATTTGTATGCTCATTATTTCATTTAATATATCCTTAAAATTACAATAATTTACATCCCAATGATGCCTTGAAGCATGAACTCTGTCTAGTCCAGCATAGCTTACCTAGGCAGGCATATGTGCATTTTATCAGCTAAGGGATTCCTTCCAGGGGGAACAGGTAATTGCTATTGAGTCTATGCTGTCAATCTTAAAACTAAATATAGTTTAATAGGGAGTAGCCATATCAGCATCTTCTATACCCCCCCCCCTATAATCATTCAATAGGGACAATTGACGTTACACTTATTCACATAGCCTAAATGCACTGTTTACCACTGAAGGAATCCTACAGTTGATTAAATTCACATGTGACTCTAAAATACACCTTTACCCATGAAAGAATTCTCACTCGGGAAGTTCAGCTGCATCTCTGAGGATGCGTTGTAGAGCTGTAAGCTGTTTGTGCTTCCGAGGAAAATTCTTATATGATTTATTCATGAAGGGATTATATATTTTATTTGTTAACCCCCCTGTCCCACTCCGTTCATGAGTATATACTCACTTACTCTAAAAGTACATATAGTTCATAAAGCAAACCTTTTAAAGCCATGGCAAGATTCTACAGTTGATACATTTCACCCGTTTCTCTGAGGGTTAAGAAACTGTATAATGTTTGTTGTCATGTTTGGAACTGTAAACAGTTTTTGCTCCCAAGAAAAAGGATAGGTATCGATATGGTGAACTGAATTCAACAATGTTTTTCTCTTAAACCAATTATTGAAAACATTCTGTAAAAAACACGGTCCTTTATGTGATTTTGACCGATTGGCAACAATTTAATGCAAAAATTATTTATATATATTTTATATAACTGTTTTTGTTAACATTTTTTGTTTTTTAGTGCAATTGTTTTTTGTTCCTTTCTACCAATTCTTGAGAATGAAATGAAATGTCTCTCTGAACCTTGTTGGAACAAAATAGCATATACAACATTTTCTTAGACCTCTCAATATTATAGTTATACAAAGGAAATTTTGGTTGATTTTACAATAAGTATGCAAAAATAGATAAAAATTAAGTCCAACCTTTAATTTCATTAACAAGATACTTTTTTAATATCAACCAAACCTTCCTTTGTACGATTGCAATATTGAGAGACCTACACACGTTGTGTTTATGTCGTTTTGTTCCAATGAGGTTCGGAAAGATGTTTCATTTCATTCATGATACCAAGATGTTTCATTCATTAAGATACCAAGAACAAAAGAAGTGTCTCATTTGTTATCTAAAACAATATAGAGAAAAGTATATAAATATATTTCAAATTATAGTGTTACCATCCAAAAGATAACCATTAAATTGACGATGTGTAAAATGTTCAGAATGTTTTGATGACTGGTTTAAGAGAAACGTGTATTCAAAAAGTTCACCATATAGATACCACTCCTTTGAAGATGACTTAACCCCCTTCTGCTCCACTTTATCCATGAGCAAAAGGAGAAAGACAGAAACGATTGTTCAGAAGTATTTCTTATAATATTCCTTTTATATCTAAAAATGATTCTACAATAGATAAAGTTTGCATGTACCTCTGACTCTGAAGAAACTCTGAATGACTCCCCCTCCCCCCATTTCATTCAATTAATAAGGGAGAAGGACTGGACTTTTCTCACTTATTCCAAATTTATTTCTTCAAATATCCCCTTTACCCATGTGTAGTTGAGCATAATTCAAGGGTTTGCGTGAGACCCCCACATGGGAAGTGGTGGAGGTTTTGACAAAATAAAGATTGAGCTGTCAAACTCAAATCATAGGAGTAACCTATATTGAGTCAACTTCCCCACCCTGGAAGCAATAATAGAGAGTCAAATATAGTGAAAATTCCTATTATTAACAATTAACTTTTGAAAGTCTCTACTCTCAGGACTCTTTGAATGGTGCATAATATTTGAGAATGTATAATGTTCATGTTCACTAGGAAAATTCTAATTATGTCAAACTTTACATCGTGCACTCTATATTAATAGGCATTCTTAGCATGTACATTATTTTCTTTCGGCCCATATCTTTCAACCCATGAATTCCCATCCTCTAGGTCTATATATAAACATCGAAACAGGCTTTTGACCCAAGAAATTTGTGTTTTATGACATTTGTGAAACTTATTCTTGAAGAAAATAATATACAAGGCAGGACATGAGTAGTCATCATAGAATTTCTGATCCAATTGTGCCCCCTCCGCCTTCTTGTATTTCTAAGGGGTAGGGGTCAACAAAGCCATATTAAAAATACAAAATAGTACTTTATCATTACATTACTTACATAACATTGTCACACATGTGTGACATGTGGATTTGCCACTCTGTGGCGTTGCTGTTTTCTAGTTGCACAATGTTTTTAAGATTTGTTCCTCTACTGTATTTGTTCTAAAATTATGTACAAGGCTGGGATTTTATCAGTGTAATGCTATTAAGGTGATTTCTGATTTATATACGGAACTAACAAATTAATATGTTATTTCATTTTTAATGCAGTTTTGATTCTCAGAAGTATTTAATATGGTAGTTTATATGCATATATGTTTAATTGTATGGATGTTTTGAAAGCGATGCATTGAACTACTTAGGACATATATTTTTCTATCACCAGATATTATTATCCTAATGTAACTTAGATGTTCTGGTATCTGCCTCACCATATTGTTTTAAATAATACTTTTGCATTTTTAATTATTTATTAGCCATTTTTATAGTTCTCAGCCATCAGGACTTTGTAAAGTGTATTGTAGTTTATGATTTTATGGGCTTTATTGCTCATTTTTACAATAAAGTAATGGACATACAAACATCTGTCTTGCCATTTTTGTTTCTATGTAGCTAGCAATGAGGGTATATACTACATGAAAATAAACCTATGGATCTGACAATAGTATATTTACCCAGAATTGATTTTTGCAATGCATTGCAATATACACAATAATGAAAATACAGAAATAATGAAATGATATCCCCAAATCAAGTGATCTGGATCTAAGAATGCACTGACTGAACAGAACCGAATGTGAGTGGAAATTATTTTTTGTGCATTGGACAATGATGAAAAATACGTGAAAATACCTTATGCTTTTCAAGATCCATATCTATAGAGGATATAATATTCCCATATCAAGAGATGTGAAAATATGCAAGTAAAGATAATCTAGGATCTTACAATACATACATTATACAAAACAGTTATTTGGAGGAATTAACTAACCCATATACGAGGGTTGTCCCAGAAGTAATGCACTATATGCTCTAACTTTCTTTAATATACTTCAATTCAGCTGAAATTTTGTGTATATAACAATTGAAGCTTTATATATACTATCCTGAAGTTTCAGCATCAAACATTAGTATTAAGTCTTAATATGGTTGCTATAGCAGCATGGGGGTAGGGACGGGCGGGGCAGGTACCAATTTTTCTAATAATGAAAAGATCCAAAGTGTTATTTTATTAATATTTCTTTCTTTTAAATGCTCAAAATGTTTGGGAAATTGTTAAATTTATTCAGCATGATGTTAACCAAGTACAAATAATGACATTTAGCACTGTGATGTCATAATACAACAGTTCAATGGTCACAAATTCTAATACAGTCACGGTCAAGAAATTGCAAAAATGGCTGCAATTCTCACCTGATAACAGAAGGACTTGCGTTTGATGGCCTAATTCCGTACTTCACTTGGACTCAAAGCCACGCAAAACTTATGCCACCATGAAAAGATTATATAAGAAGTATAAACCAGATAGAACTACAATTATGAGGTGGCAGAAGAGATTTAAAAGAGATGACTGGACCCTGAATGACAACTCCAAACATGGGAGACAAAAACTCCACGAGTCACAGTGGAAGAAATTGCCAAGAGTGTTTGACCTGACAGGCATCAAAAGTACATAACATGCAAAGGGCAATATTTTGAGAAAATATGAAATGGGACACTGTGCAATATACATCAATTAAATCTAAGATGTGCTCATAGTAATTTAGTATCTTATAATGTATTTTAGAGCCAACTTCTTATAGCTACACAAAATGTTATTTGTTGATTAATTATTTCGTATTTTCAATTTTTTTTATCCCTTTTGACGTGACTGTATAACCTGCCCCGCCCTACCCAAACACACCAACTTGATTTTATTATAACATCGCTATAGTTTTATCAGTCAACATGAAAATTTGTAGAATAATCAAAATGTCTCTAAGGAAGATTTACTGAAAATTTAATGGAAAAATATCAATTATTGATAAAGTTAGAGCATATAGTGCATTACTTCTGGGACAACCCTCGTATATGCAAGATTTATATTTTTGTACATCAACCAATGAGGAAAAATATACAAAACTATATCTCCGCATCATGCAATGTTATATTTATCCAGAATCAATAAATTAATGCATTACTTAATTCATATTTATAAGGAAAATAATATTCCCTTATCTAGAGATGCAGAAATATGCAAGAAATGATAACTCCGGATCTAACAACACCTAAATCATGAAAACCGTTATTTTGACGAATTACCTAATCAAGATTTACACGGAAATACAATTTTCTTGCATTAAGCGATGCAAAATTAAACAATAAACAAAATATCCTGGATCTACTAATCCCACATTTATCCGAAATGCATTTTCGTTGCATTCCCTTATCCAGCTTTATACGGGAATACAACTTTCTTGCATTAAGCGATGCAAAATTAAACAATAAACAAAATTTCCTGAATCTACAAATGCCACATTTATCCGAAATACATTTTCATTGCATTCCCTAATCCAACATTATACGGAAAATAACATTTCATCATCTGACTATGCAGAAATATTCAAGAATTAACATCAACGGATTAGATAATGCAGTTATATGTCAATCTTAAAAACCACGTATCTCATAATGGAAAAATATCCATAAATTAACAAAGACCTTTATTGTACAATACAAAAAATAAATGGAAAATGCGATAGAACTATTGTGTGATCCAGATTAATACAAAACTTGCATTTTCTTGAATCATCAGGGTTCCCATTGCGGAGTTATGCAAGATAAGATTTCCCCGCCTTGTGTAATAATTATCTAGCATTTTATTGCGTATATCTGGATCACAGATTTATCCGCTATTATCCGAGATAGGATTTTCTTGGATTGGGACACCTTTCACGCGGTGACATAGCTTGGAAATGATTTTTGAATACTACTTGGAGCACTGTTACTGCATATTATTTCTCTGAAGCTGCAACAATAAAATCGGTAAGACTAAAAAGGGGTAAGGGGTAGGGGTCAACAAAGCCATATTAAAAATACAAAATAGTACTCAATCAATACATTACAATGTCACACATAGCTTGGAAATGATTTTTAAATACTACTTGGAGCACTGTTACTGCCTATTATTTCTCTGAAGCTGCAACAATAAAATCGGTAAGACTAAAAAGGGGTAAGGGGTAGGGGTCAACAAAGCCATATTAAAAAATGCAAAATAGTACTCAATCATTACATTCCTTATATTACAATGTCACACATAGCCTGGAAATGATTTTTGATTACTACTTGGAGCACTATTACTGCCTATTATCTCTCTGAAGCTGCAACAATAAAATCGGTAAGACTAAAAAGGGGTTAGGGGTAGGGGTCAACAAAGCCATATTAAAAATGCAAAATAGTACTCAATCATTACATTCCTTATATTACAAAGTCACACATAGCCTGGAAATGATTTTGGTTACTACTTGGAGCACTATTACTGACTCTTATTTCTCTGAAGCTGCAAAAATAAGATTGGAGAAAATAAAAAGATAACGAAACTATGCGTTTTATTTCGATAAATTATATTTTCTCCCAAACCAATCAACATATCTCCCTATAACTTTTGGAAACACTTGACTACAGTGCTAGCAACATAATATGTATAAATCAGTGCTATAGTTAATGTATAACTGATTTTATAGAATGATTATATAGTACCCCCCTGAAATATTATTCTAGGGGGGTAAAACTGCTCAGAATCCTTCGTCCACAAACTAAAAAGACCCAGACATATATGAATTGATGCTAAATGAAGTCATCTTTCAGAAACATTATGTCTATCAAGTGGCCCTTGAACTTCCCAAAACCCATGCTGAGTCCTTGCCTATATTGAATACGCCTTTTTACTGACGCCATGATGTATTCATCAGCCGAGGCGTTTTCGTTCAGTGTGAATCTAAAATCTCCTATAATATTAAATACGAAAAATGTCGACGAATGGTCCAATAAAATTTCCAATGAGGATAAGGATAGAATACTTCGTAATTCACAATCAAACATTCAAAAATAGTAATTAAACTGTTCAAATATAAAATATAAAATGTCGAGTTCATAAAACATTAGTCATGGAATCGATCATGCAGTTAATAAGAGCCGTTGACATTGTCAAAAGTCCAACTTGAGTTTATAATGTCGTGAATAGACCAAAAGGTTGTAATGTCGGGAATGTGACACCATTCACCTGAAACAACTTACTAGCGTATGACTTTGTCCCGAGGGAAGAGTGACGTGGAATATAACAATGAGTGTATAGAAAAAAACAAATATTGTGTGATTGTTGTGTCGGGAAATAAAATAAAGTTGGCCAGGACTTTCAAAATGTCTTACAAATGCTTCAAAACGTGGCTAATATAATAAAGACCGTCGATGAAATGTTTATTACTTACTGCATTCCGTTGATATACTACATGTATCCCAACATTGTTTCTTTTCCAAGAGTGTGCTACATTTAGGAAGTTTTTAATCTCGCCATCTGTTCCAAAAACAGATATACTTGCTGGTCCAGGCCATTGTGCAAGAATCTTTGCAATTCTATGTACTCCCCTGCAATTTTACAAAAATAGAATAGAGTTAGATGGAGCATTTACCGATTTGCGTTTGGTTTACATGACTTTTATTGCATTTAATTTACTAATTATGCTGAGGAGAGGTAATGGGGTATTATACACTGTTTCTATACGTTGTAATATGATTTTCAAGAGATATTTGGGGTTTTGTTTTCCTTATCACTGGTGTACTCTGAGATGTGTTTTCTTGTACATTCCCGTCGGCACTTACGCATACATATTAAGTGTCCAACCTTGCTAAGAGGGGGAGAAACCCCAGGGTTCAAAGATGACGTACGTCTCTGATGTAAACCTGTATTGAGATGAGCAACCGTCTTGATTGGTCCAAATCGACAAACAAAAATGGCGGATTCAAAATTTTCTTAAAACGCTTCGAATAACATTACGTTAATTTTTGGCGTGTTAACCAATATCATAGCTTGTCATTTCACATTAAGGGGGGGGGGTGTATAGAGGGTCTTGGAAATGCATATACAATATTTTTCAGCTCTCTTATACCATATACAATATTTTTTCACCCCTTTTATACCATATACAATATTTTTCACAGCTCTTATACCATATACGATATTTTCTTTTGATATTTATTTTGATTAAAGTTTGGATATTTATAAGGAAATAATATTAGGAGATAATCCATATACTCTATAAAGTAAATGTATTATTATAAGGCAAATAATCTCCAGATACATATCCCAATGATTTCATTTATTACATTATGAATAAGACACCATTCGGGTACATCCGCATGTTCAGAAAAGCTGTGACCACATTTTATTTTCAGCAAGTTGATTTAAAACACATTTATAGTATAAGATTCATGACTTCTCTTTAGTGATTTCACAACCTACTTTGACCAAAAAACTAACTTAACATTTCTGCAATTTGCTAAAGCCATTACCTGTAAAAGTACCATGAAGATATTCAAAATAAGCACAAAACCTGCATCATTGGAATGGTTGGAACTCGGTGTTCCTCTTTCTTATGACACTTTCTCATGACTTGTTTTAATGTCAATGGATTAACAGATTCATCATGTGTTCTATGAAAATAAAGTTTGCTGAGGAAAATATGTATAAGATAGATAATGAAGATTCAAAATGCAAAATAATTTTGTAAAGCAGTTACCTGGAAATATTAAGTATTGAAAACAGTTTCAGAAATAAAGGACTTCACAAACTTCCATGTAGATAATTCATGTTTTATTGGACTCGAGTTTGGAAACTAGAGATTGAAATGAAGGCAAGATGAGACTTGATTTTTTAAACATTTGAAACAGATAAGGCAACCTTAAAGACAGTATACGTTAAACAAAGGTGTGTCAAAATGAAGCAAATTTCCATAAAGGTCAATCCACATGTTTCACGAATGATTTCACGGCAAAGATGTATTGATGAGAATGAAAACTACTCTCAAACGAGAAATAACTTTCTTTTAAAGGACCACGGACGGCATCGCAACAGATGTCATATATTGGATTTTGGCTATTTTCTTAGGATTTGAACAGGTGCATATGTTAGACCAATGCATTAACTCTAGGACAAGCAGTCATAGAGATTATAAAATAATTTGGACTTTAAGACAGGGAGGGTGCAAACACCCCAACATATTTTTTCTTTAATGTTGTCCTGATTTCCAGCCCTTTCCACACCTGTTTTTTCAATGTTTGTTGCATCGATCACTATGTTGCGTTTTGAGACATGGTTAACATCTTTAAATGAAAATATGATTTATGCAGCAGGGGTTTTAAATATATCAATTTTGGATTACCAAAATTAAGCTGAAAACAATGGATCACATGAGTTTTCCCAATGAGAAAATAACATGGGAAATATTGTTTTCCACTTTATCCCAAATAAATCATATTTTAGAGGTTAGCTGTGTCTCAAAACTGTGCCTCAAAGTGCAACATATTGGTGCATCAAACATTGAAAAAACACATGTGGAAAGGGCTGAAAATCAGGACAACATTTCAGAAAAACCTTCCCTGTCTCAAAGTCCAAATTATTTTATTACCTCTATGAGTGCTTGATCTGGAGTTAATGCATTGGCCTAACATATGCACCTGTTCAAATCCCCAACAAATAGCCGAAATCCAACATATGACAGTTTGAAAATCAAATAAACACCTTTTGCTATATTAGCATCGTGATGCTTGTGTATTAAAACATGCGCTGTATGAACACTTTATACTCAAATCTTTTAATGATTAATCCCACACCCCGAAACACAAGTAGCCATAGTGACCATATTTTCATCAAAGTTAAGAAGAGTCAATGACATCGATCTGACAGTCTCACGCCCGGTGATCTGAAGAAATGGACGGGGGGGGGAGTAGCTGATTTTCGGTAGATTCAACAAATCTTGAAGATTTTTTTTTTCAAGAGAAAAAATTACAATTGAATGGCTAAATGAATAGGCGCAGTGCATAGGGAATCTTCTTGGATTTTTTGAGCTGATGGAGTTCTAAGATAAAAGATCTATTAAAAAAGGCCCAGCGTAGCCAACGTGCAAATGCCAATATGTTTTTGCTATAAATCAAGCAACAATGGTCTGCACGACCTGTAATAAATATACATAAGCGACGTTTTTATCACAAAATTAATTTCATTACCCGTTTTTTAGAATAATTTTCCAAATGATGGATAAAAATAATCGAAAATGATCGGAGGGGGGGGGGGTGAATGGAGGAGGGGGAGTAATATGTCTTTAAGGTGGAAGAAATTTCCACAAATTTGCGTACTTGAAAAAATGAACTCAATAACAGCTTGATGTTGCAACTCTGAAAAGTGAAAAATGGGGACATATGGAGTTATTGGAAATAAAGTCAAGTTACATCTCTTTTCATATGCCTTAAAGACACATTCCTCCCCCCTCTGTTCAATTTTAATAATTTTCGATTACTTTTTATATAACTTATGGTAACGTGTTTTACAAAACCAACGATGACAATAGTTTTGTGATAATTACTTCACTTTTACTTCAGTATTTATTAAAGGTTGTGTATACCCTGTTGCTTGATTTATAGCAAAAACATTGGCACTTGCACGTTGGGGACGCTGCACTTTTTAAAAATATCTTTTATCTTATAACTCCACAGTTCAAAAAATCCAAGAAGACCTAACACATTTCCCCATCCACTGCGCCTATTCATTTAGCATTTCAATTGCAAACTTTCTCTTGACAAAAATGAATCTTCAAAATTTGTTGAATTTTCTACCTAAAATCAGCTACTCCCATTCCGTTCATTTCTTCTGATCACCGGACGGATTCTTATTCGAGACTGTATTTAACACCTCCTGTGAAAATTTGAATGAAAAGGGTTCAAAACTCTTAGTTTGAGAGTGATTTTCTAAACTTACAGTATTGATTGACCTGGAATGTGGAACCAATTAGAGAGACTACTTTTCCATGTTTTTCCAACACAGTTACAGTAAGAGAGTTGGCACAATGGGGAACTTTAGGGTACAATTTCCTCATAATTAGCCTTCTTTAATTCTAGATACCATATACCATATATTTTCTATTATACCATATACCATATTTTTTACACTTCTTATACGATATACAATATCCCTATACACCCCCCCCCCCATTAAGATAAAGAAAGACGTAAGGAATGTGCTTACATCGACTAAAACATCACAACGACGTGTTATACATTCAAAAACTAACTGGTAAAAATTTGCGCAAACGAAGTCGGTGTACGCAAGAGACGTAATATGTCTGTCATTGCTAAAGCTCTTGGGGATTCCTTTCTCTTACCCCGCTGATGGTAGAGAGTGAGTCATGGCATAAACTGTACGCTATTATAAACATATATAACCAGGTTTACATTACCAGTGGGTTCAAGACACTTCCTTGCAGTTTGCATTGACGTGTCGCAAAAAGGTGGCGCATTTGTTTTTTAAGGGTATTGCGTGAATGTAACTTTGATTCCCCGGATTATAAGATAATATTCTAATTAAAGTTATATATCATATTAAAGCTGTTTCGATGAAGATTTTAGATCAACTACACTCCGTTCACATTTTTTGCGCGTTTGTTCTTAAAAAAGAGTTTTTTACCAAAACATCTGGCAAATATCCCATGTTGACACGTTACATTTTGAATTATTTTTCGTCTTTAAACGCTCATAACTCAAACAATATATGACTATTATACTTATTTTTCGTCTTGATAAAGGTAGATGGAAGTTTTATTTCAAAGGATGAATTTTAGTTAGCGTCCCATATTGTGACGTCATAGAGTCTGAAAAATAGAATCTGTTGACAGCGACCTTTTTTGCTCATTTTTTGGTACCTTCAACTTTTCAGATGTACATTAAACAAAAAATACGAGATCAATTTTTAATAAATCATACATGATTATTTTGCTCCTAAACTCTAGTTTATTAATAAATAGTTGATTTTGTTCACAAAAGTATGTGTTTTCTGTTGTATGTGGAAAAGTGGAGGACGAAAGGTTTTCAAAATTCATTAAAATAGGGCTAATTTACGCCATCGGCCTATTTTCAAGCACAGCAACACGTATATTTATTTCACCTAAAATATCAATTGATTCGTGTTTTATGGTGCTCCTAGCCCCTTAACAATATATATATGATATCAGAGTTATTCGTCTAAAATGTTTTGAGATATAGAGGTAAATGTGGAGGACGAAAGGATTTTCATGTGTGTACATTTTTCTCAAAAACGTCACATTCTATCATGTTAAAAGCGAGGATCCTCTGGATTACGCCACAAAATGTGTAACAATGCGTGCGCGAGCTTTTTGCGACACGTCATTATTATTCTTCACCAACACTACTAGTCTAGCCAAACCGAACACATTCCCTTTACACATTCCCAAAACGCATCCCCTTTATACATTCCTCGTCTATCATTTACACAAAGTATTAAAGTCTCATACCTTTGTGACAAGGTCGACAATTCCATAAGAACATATCATATACCCGTTACCTGTTAAGAGTAAGATGCGATAATAAAGTGACATCTATAGGTGATGGTTCATAACTATATCGAAACACAAAATACTGGACATCGTGACGTAGTTTAATCTCGGAGATAAGACGCGTACAGTTATCGACAGTGCGCCCCTGTATGTGTGGAAAGGAACTATTTAATTTTCGCAGAAACGTGTCGCTTAATTGTTTCTTCTTGGCATCGCGTCTATATATATTCTTATTTGTCTCTATGAGTTGCTTTTTTGTTAGTGTTTTTAGTTGCGCAGATTCTTGTTTTCCTCCTTCTTGTTCATGTATTGCAGCAGTAGAAATGAAGTTACACGAGTGCTTATCTACAAATAAGGAATTAAAAGAATTGACATTGCTTTACACCATTATAGGCCAAGCAAATGGGCTCATAAAAGGCCCAAACATCCCAAAAATTGCAACAGTTTTTAAATTAGTCTTATATTATGTATTAATATCAGTTGAAAAACATATCAAAAATATAGAAAAATGTGTGCAGTGGACAAATATGAAATTTCACTTCCTAGGTACCCCCTACAACACTACCCCAAAATTGAGTATTGGTAGTAAACAATTTTTTCTTCCCAAATGGAATACTTTAGTCAAGTATTCAAGCTTTATTATGATAGATCACATATTCACAAATAATTAAAATATTATTTTAATCAATTTTGAGACCAGTAATTGGTCATTTGACCCCAAAGTATAACAAAATAGGCCACAAAACAGGCATGTTATCACATATCTATTTAGATATTTTAGGATCAGTTTGTCAGAAAAGCATGACAAAAATCATGGTGTTACATATTCATATGAACTTCATATTTAGTGAGTGTCAGGATTCTAAGGTGTATACTTAGGAAGAAAAAAATTATTTCATTTTCATAGTTTTGCCCCGCCCACTATAGGGGAGACTATAGTTTTGATGATTAACTCCCACAATGCATCACATTTGAATTAGAGTTGACATCTAAATCATTTACATTTACATATAGGCTTGTCATCATCTAAAATACAAGTTTTGTGAAGGTTTATACCTTATTAGTATGAAAAATAGGAATTATTAGTTGCACCAGGTAAAATGTTAAGGTGACCTCACTTTTATTTGATGAATAATTACATATCACCACTCTGATATTAGGGTATTTGATAACTGCTCTATACTAGGCTTATCTAAATAATGTAAGTTGTAGTTTTTGTGGAATTTAATATTGTTTAAATGATTAATTACAATCCGCAATTACAAAATTTGCATATATTTAAATTCATCAGATAAATAAATCATTACATAAGAGTACATTACTATGGAACTATCAATTGGATGTATAATGCTGTAGAAACGACGAATTTATGGTTATTAAACGGAATTTAAACTGACAGAGAACATTAAAATCTCAGATATCTGGGGAGTCTTTCATTATATTAATATAATTTCGGTGCATAGGAATGATGGTAATTCTGTTTGTCAGGTTGGAAAACATTGAGTGTACATGTGCTGCATTCAGAATCGGATGCAGATATTGTGATTGTGAAAACTGCAATCCAAAGTGTCCAAACCTCAAATACATTACTCCAGATCTCCTTGTGCTTCTCATTTATCATGCACAAAACACAAACTTCAACATTTTCTTCAAACCTGAACCAAAAGCAGCAACCCAAGAAACAAAATGTTGGAATATAAATGAAATAAGATTGTCTTTGGAAAAGTGGTCTGTGACAATATTTTGTTTCTTTTCTGGGGTGTGACATCGCATTCAGGTTATATATGGCATAGACAAGAGGCTATCATTGAGGCAGATAAAAAAGAGTGAGTTCTTGAGAAAACAAGCGGTTGTTTTTAAATTACCAAAAGCACTGGTGATCCGCTCGATTGTCGTTTCGGTAACAAAATGTCTAAACGTCGAAAGTACGATATTTCTTTTTTCCTTTTTTTCACGCGTTGTAGGCAGAATCCCCACGATGTTTTTTTCTCACAGAATTGTTGATTTAATTCCTTACTTAAGTTAAATAAACGGTTTGGGTTAAAAGTGCAGATCTTAATTGTTTATCGAAATACCGTTTATGTAACTTAAGTGAGGAATTAAATCGAAGATTCTGTTGTCTTCTGAACTATTTGTTCGCAAATATGTACATTTTTTAAACATATAATACTGATACATGTTTGTGATAAATATTGTGGGAATTCTGCCTACAATGTGTGAAATAAAGAAAAAAGAAAAATCAAACCTTCGATGTTCCGACATTTTGTTACAGCGTAAACAAGTAGAAAACCAGTGAAATGCAAGCAACTCTGTCATTGCAGCGGAACATGCTCTTTTGTCAATTTATGGTGGAAATATGGTGAAACCCTAAATTATCTTAGGCTTCTAAAATTCTATTAAAAGAGAGCAGCAAGATCTGAATTATTGCAGCCCAGGGTTCTTCCTCCATTTTCTGATGCTGCGGAATACCACAGTTACAGAGTGTACCATCAGATCCAGGAGTGGGAGGGAAATAAACTGCCTCCATAATAATTTGGCTGGGAAATAAGCAACGAAACTATGTACCAATTGCCTAAATGCAGCTCCCCTTTCTCAGAGATCATCCATTGTGTGTGTAAGGCAGATTGTATTTCTTTGAGATGTTCTTGTAGAAAAATGAAATAACTGTTCTTTGACATATAAGGTATGCAAAGGCATTTGTGCAAATACCTCTATTACCGATCATGAGAATGATGACTAAATAATGAACACTGGCAGATCTGGGCCCCTCCCACCCCCTTGGGCCGGCCCAGAAAAAAAATTGGGCCCAAAAAAGGCCTTAAGGCCCCGAAAAGTGGGCCTTTTTGGTCATAAATGGGCCTTTTAAAGCCTTATTTTTAATTGAAGAAAATTGGTCTCAATATTTCAAAATTTGACTTCAGGGTTTTAGGGGCCCAAAATTTTTTTCGCGGAAGTTTTTTTCTCAGACCTGACATTTGCCCCCCCCCCTTTTTGGTTCCCATATCCGCCCCTGATGAAGGCTGGTGATAGACAAGGTTGTAACTGATTGTTGTTACAACATAATAGTTTTAACGCTTATTTAATCAGCATTCTTTTTTGCTCTCTATAAGTAAGACACATATATGAAGATTAAGATTACAAAATTAAGGCAGCATTTTTGATAATGAACATAACATAATCGAACCAGGCCCTGTATAAAGACCAGGGATTTACTTTGCGTTACACTAGTTAACTCAGGAGGATTTATTAATGTAGAAACCTTTTCCTCATTTTTATTGAATTTCATCTTGAAATCGAACATTCTTCAGTTGAACTTCTTCATTTCATTTCTCAATATCACTGTGTGGTTAAGAACACCTTAGTCAAAAGTAACAATTTTTCCTTAATACAGGGCGAGCCAAAAAGGTAACCCAAACAAATCTTAATAATCCAGTCCACTCATCCTGCATGGATTTAGTGTCATATTTGGCAGAATTGAGTCTTGGTCAATGTATTATCAATCTACCCAGTCTCAGTGGTCTCTAGTGGTCACGATTTTATGGCCATTTTATACCATGCCATGAAATATGGGTGTCATGCCTGGAGGCCAACTTGAACGTATCGTGCGTTGTTGTTCAAATCAGGAGCATAAAAATCATGTGTTATGACTCTCATCTTCATTCTTATCTCTTGTTTTAATGTTTCAAGTGTTGTTAGTATCGAAAAAAGGTCCACGGATAAAAAAAAAACTGGTGGTATTGATGTCCAGTCAGGCACATTTCGATATTTTGAGCACGTTTTGTAAATGGCCATAAAATCGTGACTATTAAGGATAGATCAATGACACTTAGCAGAATTGAGTCTTGGTCAATGTATTATCAATCTACCCAGTCTCAGTGGTCTCTAGTGGTCACGATTTTATGGCCATTTTATACCATGCCATGAAATATGGGTGTCATGCCTGGAGGCCAACTTGAACGTATCGTGCGTTGTTGTTCAAATCAGGAGCATAAAAATCATGTGTTATGACTCTCATCTTCATTCTTATCTCTTGTTTTAATGTTTCAAGTGTTGTTAGTATCGAAAAAAGGTCCACGGATAAAAAAAAAACTGGTGGTATTGATGTCCAGTCAGGCACATTTCGATATTTTGAGCACGTTTTGTAAATGGCCATAAAATCGTGACTATTAAGGATAGATCAATGACACTTAGTAGAATGAAATAACATTGAACAAGGTTATTGTGCCAAATATGATGTCAAACCCATGCTGAATGACTGGGTTATTAACAAACATTTGGTTGGGTTACCTTTTTTGGCTCATATTAATAAACTGATGTCAGGGACAGGGATATTTAACATTTTGTTGCCTTTTCAAGGACATTTTTTGACCACTGATTGTAACAAATCGTTCTCTGTTTTACCAGAAAAGGTATATTATATATCAAATTGAATTTAAAAGGAAAAAACATTTGATAATTTAACAGATATCAACTAAAAGTAGGGCTTCCCCTATATTTCACCTGGCATTTGCTGTTTTTCTACCTTTTTTTACATAATCCTTTCCTGAAAACCTCAAAAAACTGTTTTCAGGACAAAATAAGCCTTTACAAATAATTTAGTTGTGCTATTGAGTTCAAATATGACATATCTTGGAAGTAATTAAACAAAAGTAAGGTCACCCCAAAAGTGGGTGTGGTTAAATATTGAAATTTCAAATATTATTTTCACGCTCAATATTCACTTAATGACCCTGATAGTTATCAAAGACAATGTTCAGGTGTACAATACCCTCCTTGATATTTTTCATGCAATTCTGATAAATTGATACAGAAATAAATACATTGTTATATTAAATTCGGGCTATTTGATGGCCTATTTTCAGATATTTGGCGCTAGAAATGCCAATTATTGCACTCAAATAGTTGGTTAACAATTTTTAGTTGCTCTTATGTCAGTAAACTATCATAATATTACTCGTTTAGTTGACAAGAGTATTCCATTTTGATATAAAAAAATATTTACAATCCCATACTCAAATTTGGAGGGGGGTACCTGGAATGTGACATTTCATATTTGTCCACTGCATATATTTTTCTATATTTTTGATATGTTTTTCAACTGGTATCAATATACAATATAAGCCTAATTTAAAAACTGTTGCAATTTTTGGGATGTTAAACTTCCATTTGCCTAGCCTATTAATGATTGCTAACTTTATGGAATTGTATATGTACCACATAGCT